ACAAACAAACAGTTTATACTCTTGTATTCAGTGGCTAATGAACTACTAATAATTACCACTCGACTGCAAACGAAAACTTGAAAATCCAAATTGAAAGATGTATACACTCGATAAATGAGAGAATTAGGCTATATTTGGAAAGCACGCGCAGCCCAAACACAGTAGCATTTATTACGTCGTTTCAGCAGAGAATCATATTTTTTAATAAGAACAACATTAAATGACTTCCATGCTTGTGGTCTTTATTTTGTTCTTATCAAAAACTTTAGAACCATGTTGAAAGCTATTCTCATTGTTTGTTAAAGTTAGGATACCGTCATTCTTATATAATATTCAAGATATAATAATGTATGGGATTCAAAAATAAATCTTTGGAAAGCAATTGTAAATAAATATATGATTTAACAGTGTCTTAATTTGTTATTAATTGTTACTTTATTTTACACTAAGTAAATGAAAAAGCTAGTATAAGTTACCTCAGCGCTTCTGCTGTATTTATCAGACGTTTCTACGTAATTAGCACTGTTCAAAGTAACACTAATTATTTCTGAATTACTATGAAATATTAATGTTGAATTGTGATGTTGAAATTACTATGATCTTTACACATTCATCATCTCCAAATAAATACCAATCATTGCTGTTTAATTGTTATATTGAAATAATTATGTACTTAACACTAATCCCAAAAATCATTTATTATCTCCAAATGTTTAAGTTGTATTTAATCTGGGTTGAGAAGATCACGAGCAACATATCATGATAGTTAAACGATATGCTAATATTTATCTTTAACTCCTAAAAATACTTGTGGGAAATATTCAAATAGGTAATTAGGGAAATTTATAACCAACATTTAAATTAATAAATTAATTAACACGATAAATTAATTGTTACGTTCGAAACAGTGACAATGAGAGAAGTACGACAGGTCACGATGTCGCTAAAAGTTGGTCTGTAGGGTTATTTATAAGAGGCTATTAGATATATATATATATAGTTACAGTTGCTAAGTTTATTTTACTTGACAACTGCCTCCCAGTGTCTAAGCGGTATTGCTTCTCTGAAGATTTATAACGCTAAAAACTGGGTTTCGATACCTGTGGTGGGAACGGCATAGATTGTCTAGCTTTGCGCTCAACGACAACAAAGTTAATAATATATATATATATATT